GTTGCGCCCGCACCTCGCTCAGCCAGTGAGCGGCCGGTCTGTATGTGGGATCCGAACTCTCAGTGGGAGCACTACCACGCTTCCCAAGCGGCGCACTGTAGCAGTGCGCCACCGGGCCGGCCCAGAACCTTGTTGTTTCTGCTCACAATGCCCTCCGTGCATGAGTCCTCCCCTGGCCCTGCCATGGACCATGTGACATTCGGCAAGTCACTTCATTCTTCTAGGTGTCAGTTTCTTTATCTGTCAGATATAAGATAAATATACTTTTACTACCTGTATTAGTCTGTTTTCTGTCACTTAGAATACCTGAAACTGGGTGACTTACAAAGAAACAAAATTTATTTCTTACAGTTTGGAGGCTGGGAAGTCCGCAGTGCAGGGGCACAGCTGGTGAGGGACTTCTGGGGGGTATCTCTCTACAGGGTTCTGTGGTGAGAGGGCGTCACATGGTGAGGATGGCAAGAGCTCTCAAGCACTCTCCTCATAAAGCCACCAGTCCACGCCCATGACAGCTCTCATGATCACTCCGTTCATGAGGGCACAGTCCTCATGATCCAATCACCTCTCAAAGGCCCCACCTTTCAAATACCGTAATCAGACTTCCCACCCTCTTAACACTTTGCAATGGGAATCACGTTTATAGCACCCAAACTTTTGGGAGACATGGTTGACCCATAGCACCACTTCAAGTGAGTTTAAAATGGGATGATGCTATGTGGGATCACTTTGGAAAATGTGAAAGCTTTATTGCTCATGCAAGGTGTATCAGTCAGGGTTTCTCAGAGACAGAACCAACATATGGAGATAAGTACATACATATATGAGACGGTTATTTTAGTGGTTGGCTCACATGATTATGGAGGCCGAGAGAAGGTCTGCAGCCTGTCATCTGCAAGTGGGAGGACAGGAACGCTCGTGGTGTAAGTCAGTCTGAGTCTGAAGGCCTGAGAACCGGAGTGCCAGCATCCCAGGGCAAGAGAAGACGGATGTCCCAGCTCAGGGAGACAAAGAGCAACTTTGCCCCTTCTCTGCTTTTTGTTCTGTCCAGCCCGCAATTGGATGGTGCCCACCCTCTCTGGCGAGGGCCATCTGCTTTACTCAGTCCACCAATGCAATTGCTACTCTCTTCTGGAAACACCCTCGTAGACACACCCAGAAACAACATTTTACCAGCATTGTTTTACCAGCAGTGTTTCATCCGAGCATTCCTTAGCCCAGTCAAGTTGACACATAAAATTAACCATCAAACATGGTAAACTATTATTTCATTTAACTTTTTTTTAAAACAATTTTCTCTTGTTCTGTCACTTTTTAATTATTTGGTCTGCTGATGGAATCCTTGGGCATTTTTCAGAGTCACTCAGGCTGGGCTAAAGAAGATGCTCAGTATCAATTAGTTGGATTTTTCTGAATTGTTCCATTTTCAGTCATATAAGTCCTGGTTTTCTGGATGCACTGTATGGGTAGCCTGTAAACCTGAGGGGAAAGAAGGCAGGGACAGATCCTAAGAGTCAGGGCACTGCCCTGCTATATTTATTGTCCTGTTAGGCTCCAAATTGCCCAACTCACCCAAAACCAAAGTTGGCATCAAGCCCATTCAACCTATTTTTATTTCACTGATAGTTCTCGAGGGGTCTTTATTTGAGCCTCTTCTATTGCCAGGATGTGTGGATGACCCGCAGGCACAAATCCCCCAGAAAGGAGACAAGCAGCAGTCTCAGGTGTGATGCTTGAGCACCTAGAGCTGGCAGCTGTTGCATAAATAATGCACACTGTGGAGTGACCACTGTGGGTGCTGAGGGCTGGAAAAGTGCTAAGCACCCAGGGAGAGAGAAGCTTGAAATATTTAGAACTTGCTGCAGCCACTTGGAAAATGTCAGAGGAGAGATTTTAGTTCACAGGTGGAGGGAGGGTACACACCCTTGGAAGCTTCTGCTGCCTGGAAAAGGAGTATTTCATTGTCTCTTCTTCACTTCCTTCTGGTTCTCTTACATTTTCTAGCATACAAATGCCACCTTGGAGTGAGCTGGACACGGTGGCCCATGAGATCCTGCTGTGGATTGAATTTTTCCCCAGAACTCACTGAAGCTTGATTTCCATTGCAACAGTGTAAAGAGGGTGGGAAATCATGTGATGGTAATTGAAAGGTGGGGCCTCGAAGAGGTGATTAGACTGTGAGGACTGTGCCCTGGTGAAAGGATTGATCCATTCCTGGAGTGATGGGCGTGGTTCCGACAGAGAACAGGTTAGCTCTCTCTTGCTTAGCTCATTCTTGTCATGTGACACCCTTTGAAAAAGATGCTCACCATATGTGCTGCCTGGACTTTGGACTTTCCAAGCCTCTGAAGCTGTAAGAAATAAATTTTAGTTTTTTGTAAATTACCCAGTTTCAGGTACTATAAGTAACAGAAACAGACGATACAGGGCCTTTGTCACAGGACTGTGCAGCTGAGTGTTGACTGGAGGTGCCACTCACATGAAATGTGATGGAACAAGGGGTTTAGTTTACATCTATAGTCAAGGTCGCAGCCCTGGGAGAGTCTGAGACTGTTGGCTTCATGTGCAAGAGAGGGGTGGAAGGAAACCCAAATTGTTTCCTGGCCTTGCCTCTCTATCAGGAGCTCGAGTGTCAGGGATTCTGATGCTTTGGAGGAAGGTTTTTAAAAATGCATTTTACAATATCCCACAGGATTCTGGTTGACGGAGACCAGCCAAAGACCAGACAGATCAGAGTTTGGCAGTTATTATGTTCTTCCTGCAGAGATTTACAGTGGTATTAAGTGATTAGAAGTGCCTTGTCACTCTCTGGACTCGCTTACGGCACTGGCAGGTGAAGCCAGCTTGTGAGCAACTGCTTCCTCCTGAACCCTGGTCAAGTGCAGCAAACTGGCTGTGACCTGCGACGGGCTGGGTCGGCTGCAGCTGCAACTGGTGTTGCCTTTTTTGATCATAACATCTGGAATTCTGTCGGAGCCACAAACTATTTCTCCTTTTGACAAGTGGGAAGAAAGGAAGATAACTGGAGAGTTTTAATGAGGATTAGAAGACCCTTAAAGCAGATGCTGAAATGACAGTCTGATTTAAAAGCTCTGGAAGGACCAGAGGATGTGGAGTCAGGAGACACGGGTTTGAATCCCTGCCCTGTTATGCTAGTTACCTGGATCTTACCCTGACCTTTGCTTGGGTGTGTCGTGTGGGCTTTCCCTGCCTCAAGGACCCTTTCCAGGGTTGTGGTGAGGGTTGTATAAAATCATTGTGTGGAACTACAGGCAATGTCATAAAACTGTTGGTCAGTGTATTAGCTTCCTGGAGCTGCGGTAGCAAAGTGTCACACACTGGGTGGCGTCACACTCGTAAATTTATTTTCTCACAGTTCTGGAGGCTGGAAGTTCAAAATCAAGATGTTGGCAGGACCATGCTCTCTCTGAAGTCCTAGAGGAGGATCTGTCCTTGTTTTTTCTGGCCGCTGGTGGCCGCTGGTGGCTGCTGGCAGACCTTGATGTCAGTGCGGCGCTGCAGTCCCCACCTTTGTCCTTGCACGGCCTTCTCCTCTGCGTGTTGGTGTTCAAATTTCCCTCTTCTGATGAAGACGCCAGTTTCGCACGAGGGCCCGTCCTCACCCAGTGTGATCTCCTCTTGACTTT